ATCAGACAAAAAAAAATCATTAAACTTTACAGCCGAAAGTACACGAACATACAGTCATAGCGACTGACAATTTTCGCGAGGTTGTGACTAAAAATAATAATTCAGCTTCTGTGCCGTAGAAGAGATTTGCGATCAAACGGAACACCTTTTCTTTTCTTTTTCTTTTTTTTTACTCTTATGCACTCGAGGAACACAATTGCTGAGGTTCCTCTGCGCCGAGAAATTGAGGGGGCCAGCTCGCTAGAATCAGCGCCTTAGCTTAGTCTGTGGCTGCATTCACATGGACGCGACCATAGAGCGCATCCAATCGAGATTTGACTATTTTGATTGGTAGAAGATGGGTTAGGAGAGGATGGAGTAGGAAGACAGGGTGCTTGTGATTGGTCCCTGCCCGTCACCGAGTGCTCTAATCTCCTTTTCTCCCTCAGTCTTTTTTTTTTGGCGCATAGTTATCCAGGAGAGTATGTTTTGATTAAATAATTTTATTTCATTCATTTTTTTTGCATTGATTGATATGCTACGGGATGAGAGCGGAGATGGAGGGAAGGGCTAAAAAAATATGCACATTTTTACTGACGTCAAGTTGGCTGCTAGCAGACATGCACGTATCGCGTTACTAATAACGAGTTACTTGTGGCTAGTTACTTTTTTGGTAACGAGTAAGCAACTTAGTTGTTTTTTTAGAAAAGAAACAAGTATCGTACTTAGTTACAAATAAGGCCAAGTAACGAGTAACGGTATTTTGTTACTTTTGAGGAGTAACGCGTACAACACCTTTAAAACAGTCTCGTTTTGAAGTGAAGTCAATTTCGTCTGCTTATTTTGCAGGGGTTGTGGTGACGTCAGAACAGCGAGCTCTGATTCGCTCAGATTGGAAGGATAGTGGCTAGAGGTTCAAAGCAAGTTGCCTCGAGGTCTACCCACTATCCTTCAGATCACAGCCAATCAGAGCTCAGCGTTCTGACGTCACCACAACTTCTGAAAAAGAAGCAGACGAACTTGCGCTTCGCATGCGACAAAGACAGATGGGCAATCCGAAAAAAAAAACAACTGAACAGTACGACAGCATACCAACGTTTATCGCTGGACACGTCAGTCGAACTCTAGAGCTGGTATTGTCCTCGACCCAGCGAATACAATAAGGTTCGTTGGTGAAACCTTCTAGAATCGTGTGTACAGACCCGGAGGTTGCCAACCGGAGGCACAGAATTCGTTGTCAGCTTCGAGCTACTCCTTCCAATCAGAGCTCGGCGTTCTGACGTTGCCGCGTGATCTCGTCCCCTTGTCCATGAGCATACCAACCGGCGGGGGGGGGGGGGGGGGGGGGGGGGCAAAGGGGCGCTTGCTCCCCCAGTTCTCAGAGTGGGGGGGGGGGGGGACAAGCCATGCGTTTTGCCCCCCCCCCCCCCCTAAAACAGCCGCCACCGGGCAGGGCATACACTGACCGGCGGCGCCCAAGGGATACCAAGGGCACCGCCCCCCGGCCCCGGGGGGAGGGGGGGGAAGTCTGGTTTGCCCCCCCCCCCCCCCCCCTCTCAGAAACAAGTTGGTACTCCACTGCCCTTGTCTTCCTCCAGTTCCTCGGCGCATTCTCAATTAAGCGGGGAAACGTAACTGATAAAAACCTCGAGAGGCAGTTACTGCTTTTAAAGACCGACGACCAGTTCGCGCTCTCCACTTTTCCCCCGTTTCCTCCTCTCCCCCCCCCCCCTTTCTACCCTGTCCACCGTTGCCCCCGTTTCCTCCTCCCCCATGCTGAGGAGGATCTTCTGCCTTGCAGAATCTCGTGTCTGGTCGTCGGCCTTTAAGTGCAACGACTACTGAACGGAAAACAATAAACCACGAAACAAAAGCAGTTGTGTATTTCGTCGTCAAAGTAACGGAGAATAGCAACTTGTTACTTTCGAGGTAAAGTAAAGCATATCTTTTTTAGAAGCGGTATAACGGGTAATGTATTTACTTTTTGAGCGAGTTTCAAGTGCCGGTGCTTAGTAACTTTTTCGGGTTTTCGGCTTTTTCGCGTACATGTCTGGCTGGAAGTAAGCACGGTTTAATCGATAGGAAAGCTTGATATGTGTGTTAATCAGCTAGAAATATTTACTTGATTAAAAATGGGGTGGTGCACAAAACAACAACAACAGCAACATCCGAGATGTTCGTTACTGATTCCGCATCCCCCTTACTGTAGGCAGTAGAAACTATGGATGTTGGGAGATTTTGTCAAACTTCGAGAACTTCCAAACTTTTGGCAAAGCTTGAAGTTCAACTCAAACAGGTTGCCGAGCTTCTACAAAAATAATTATAATTTCTGGAAGAAAATAACAAAACAGTATAGTTTATTTGATGTTTTACAAAATGATTACCGATGTCCAAGCATAATAAATGTATTTTTTAGTGATTTAGTTAGTTTGCTACGTTTCTTTCACCAGGTGGCGTCAGTTCCTTCTCGAATCCCGCGCGTGCGAATTACAGCTGAAGCTCCGTCGAACCTTCGTTAAACTTCGCGTCAAGTTCGCAAAAAGTCAAACCTGGTTGAACTCAAGCTTGGGCAGGTTCACGACAACCCTATTAGCAACACACAAAAAAAAAAAATATCAACAACGCCAATAGTAATAAAAAAGTGTTTTTGAAGAGGAAACTAAGGTGTGTGACCCTGCATGGTCCTAGGCGCTTACTATTTTCATACATCTTTACTTATGAAAAAAGTTAACTGTTCTGAACTTTGGCAATATGACGCCTCGTGAGAAAAAGGTATCGCAGTGGTTAAATTATTAGAGTTGAGTCTGATAACGAGACGAAGATGATGTCCGTGATCAGTCGACACTTCTGAGCATAAATTTGTCGCTGAATGAAGCTGAATTCAATTTTCTTCGGTCTAAGAACTGCTGCAGCCTATTGTGGCGACAGGAAATAAGTTTCTGATTGGAGAGAGCGAGCTGGGGTGAATATTATGGAAACAAATATAGTGGTTCTTAGGTAATTAAGCCGATAAGTTTTACTTTACAGTCGTACCCTGCACGACGCCCGCTGTGGTCAGTAATGTTAGCCCAAAAGAACCATTTTCTTTCTTGCAATGCTTTTTTCCTATTTTTTTTAGTCAAATATGAAACGCCACGTGTACTCGAAGAGAGAGAGAGAAAGAGACTATTGAATATCAGAAGGCTTTACTTCATCTCAGAATTTCGCATGACGCTAGCAAAGGTGCTGGGATGAGAACGAATTGTTGTACTCTCCATGCTAGCATCCAAAACTGCACGGAACTTTTAAAATACAATATGTCCCGCTCGCATCACGGACACATGTCCCCAAACTTCACCGAAAAATGTGATTCGTTGCTTTAAGATGCAACATTGAACTGATTCCTATAGTAATAAAAGGCGTGACGCCCATGTCGCCTAACGCAGCCTGAACTATGAGGCGTGTGCCTTTCTATTGGTGCTCCCGGATGGAAGGATGTGTACGCGTCTTGCAAAATCTAACGCACCCCTCATACGTTGGGACGTTGCCGTGACCGCAGATTGATTTTCATCGGAGACCGACCTCTTTTGCGGAGCAAGGAATGCACGAAAGCCTTATAATATTACAATAAACTGATTCCCAATGATAAAAAGCCCGATCCCCATGTACTCCAACGCCGCCTGGACTCGGCCAGTCTACCTTGACGTTGGTGTTCACCGTATGAAAGACGTGCATGCTTTTAGGTGCGAAGCTCCTTAGGGGCTATCCATATCCGTATGTCCGTGCGCCGTCCGGCGTGCCCCTGCTCGTGAGTTCAGCAGTGAGAGCAAGAAAAAAAAATGAAAAAAAAAAACGTCCGGCGTGCCCCTGCTCGTGAGCTCACGTGCAGGAGCTCACGAGCTGCTGCTCGTGAGTTCAGCAGCGAGAGCAAGAAAAAAAAACATGAAAAAGAAAAAATGAAAAAAAAAAGAAGGAAAAAAAAAAATAGGGGACTCTGAGATGCCATCCCATCTGTCTTCTTAAAAAAAAAGAAAGAAAAAAAAAACAAGAACACCCCACATTCTCCCACTGACATGAATGAAAACGGCACCATCAGCACCACCTATGACCAAAATCAGTATCATCAGCACCACCCGAGCTTCACCCCAATCAACGTCGTTCACCACGTGGAGATGCGGTAATTTTTTTTTGTGAAAGTCGACACACCCCTGCTGAGTGACACGCCTGCCGTGGCCGCGTATTCATATTTATTAAAGGACCAATCTTTTTTTTAGTTTTTTTTTTAGTGAGGTAGCTCATTTTTATTGGTAGAAGGCCTGGTGCTCACGCTTTCCAACAACTCCTTTACTCTTCACCTCTACGTCGCTAAGGATACGCTACGTCCTGGGAAAGGCGTGCGTGAATCTTGCGAAACATAACACTCTTCTTGCACGCTGATACGTTGCCGCGGCCGCGGACTGATTTTAATAGAGAGACCTACCTCTCGTAGAGAGCGAGGAACGTATGTTTACATAAGCACGGAATAATGAACTGATTCCCAATGAAAGGCCGGAAGTCCATGTCTTCAAACGCCGTCTTGATGTGCGCCTTGCTCTCCGCTGTAGGCAAGACGCACGTATTTTGAAAAATCTAACACCCCTTAGACTTTCGTTCTGTGCTGTGTTCGCGTATTGATTTTCATTGGGCACCGACCTTTATTACGGCGGCGCGAGGAATGCTCGAAGGCCTTAAAATGTATAAATGAACTGATTGCTCGTGGTGAAGGACCTGATACCCAGGTCTTTCCAACCTTGGTGTACCTTGGTGTGCGAAAGACGTCCTTGCGTCTCGCGAACTCTATTACCCCCCCCCCCCCCCCCCCCCCCCCCCCTTGCACGTTGGTACGTTGCCGTGGCCGCGGATTGATTTTTATTTGGCAGACGGCGGCCTCTATTACTGCGCGAGGAATGCATGGAGGTCCCGGTTGCTGCATGCCCGCAGGTGTCCATCCTCGGGGCCCCGTCGGCGTCCTGACAGGAGGAGGTGCGGCCAGGCGCGGTTTCAGCAGCAACATGGCCGACTGAGTCGCTGAACCAGGAAATCCAACACAAGGTCATCATGGAGGACTTCGAACCGGTCAGTGGTGGCTCTGATGCACGCGCGCGCAAGCGAGAGAGGCAGGGCTGATGGTGGAAAGCCTCTTCAGAGAAAATGAAGATGTCAACCTGTTTAGGCTGGTTTCCGATGGAGGCACACGTAATGAGCTGTGCTGTGCATTCTGTTTATTTTTTTTTTTTTTTGTTCCGCCAGTGGTCGAGTTGTATTAGGCAAAGAAAAGAAGCAAAGGCTAACTCAGGTCGGTGTAATGAAAAGAAAAGAAACGTCTCGTCGGTGTCCTTCGTGGCCTTGTTTCATTAGGGGTAACATGCAACGAACGTTAGGCGCCAACATAACGAGCTTCTTGGAAACCAGAGCAGTTTGCCTTGTCCACAAGCGTTCTCTAGTGTCACGGGGCGATCGCGAGCATGTTGTCGTTTATTTTGTAACAAGACATAGTAAAAGAAAAGAACACAGGAGGCGCAGCGCACAATGTTAGGCTCTTGTATACGGGGAGACGGGGTGGGAGCTTTCGAGTGAAAGAAGTTGCTTGCATGCGGCATTGTCTTTGAGCAGTGTTTGTGTGCTGAATATTTGTCTTTGAGCCTTTGTTAGTCAACAAGAGGTACCACTGAAGAACGTCCCAGACAGGTTTATCGGAGATATCTTCGAGTAGAGTTTGTCGAATGTTCAGCTGAGAATGATTTCTAACGTACTGGTTTTTAGACTTTGATGCGGATGAGTGAGGGTGTGCTGACTTGCTGGGCACACCCTCAGCCTTACCCAGACCGCTAAACGCCGTATGACCAGCCTTATGATTTCTAAGCTTTGCCAACAACAATAAAGTAATATTTAAGAAAAAATTGGCAGACGCTTCAGAAATGCAAAGCGTTTGGTCAAGAGTTGGGCTTCCCAGTTTGTAAGAAGTAAACTATCAGGTGTAACAGCATCTAAAAGAGAGGTAAGAGCCTTGTACATGCCGTATGCATTCCCCGTCATCACCTGACATGCTCAGAGTGTCCAAATGAGGCAGGAAAGCACGAAGAGAAACTTATTGAAAAGTTTCTGAGCGTCACCTATCATGTTAGATGTTTTTCAGATGGTAGCAAGCATCTGACGAATAATTTAAGTAAAAGGAGTTAGCTCCTTTATCAACAAAAACGGTAAAGCAACTTCTGAAGAATCTATATACCTCCGAAGGTTTTGTTGACTTTTTCATATATAAAAGAGTATCCAGAAGGTGTAGTTTTTTTTTATTAGGATGATCTGAAATCTGTTTGCTTTTAGCTATGTTGGTGCTATAAGTTAGGCTATTAGCTAAATGTATGTGTTAATCTAATCCTGCTGTTTTATGTGTATTTTTATTGCTTGGTTTGTTGTTTTTCGGTCAATACTTTTTACGTGTGGTCATTGTATTTGCAATCTGTCTTCTATACATATAACGATGATGAAGACCTGTGTTTGTTCATAGTTAGTGACAGACCATAGACTTTTTTGTTTTGTTTGTTGTTGTTGCCAGCAGCAGGCTATGAAAATTGTTTTTCGTCGTTGAACTGATTTTCCCTCCTTGGACCTGTAACAATATGCAGAATATTGTAAATAAATAAATAAAATAGATAAATACACAAATAAATAAATATTCACCATAGAATGAGGTAAGGTGTCGATGAATGCTGAGGTTTTCAAAAGAATTATTTTTTTAAGACTCGCAAAGCCATGCAGTCTTGAACCAGAACATTCAATAGCCATCTGTCTGGTTGGGCGGAATAATTAAACAAAGGAAGGCGTCCACCCAAGCCCTACTACTTTTTTTTTAGAATCACGGTACATACAGACCACGCCACGCCAGAAATTATAAATAGGTCCCTCGTAGCTTTACAATCCGCCTACGAGCACGGACTTCGAGACATCCCCAAACTCAAAAAGAAATAAATGCACGTGCTGCTTCCCAATGGCCATCGCCACAGACACCCCCTGAATAAGAGGCCGAGTAGGCTTCGAAACGTTGAGTTCCCAATTAGGGCTTGGTTGGGTTTCCTTCTTCGTTAAATTAAAGCTTACAGTGTACGTCATATTCAGTTGACACTATTAACTTACAAAAACTAACCTATATTGTCGCCTTTTACTCTGCCTTCTGTCCGGTCCCCAGGGTCAGCTGGTCTGGTTCGAATCGGGCCTCGGCTACAGCCTCCCCGGCGAAGTGGTCGAGTTCTCCAAACCCGCCCAGGTCGTCACGGTACAAGCGGTGGTTTCGGGAAAGGTAATGATACCTATGCTGAACGCGGGTTCGTCTGCTTGTTGCACAGGGGTTCGCGATGATATCAGAGAGTCAAACTCTTATATTGGCTGATTGAAAAAGAAAAATATAGTGGGTAGACCTTGGGTTATCTAGCATTGAGGTCTGCCCACAATCCTTTCAGTTAAAGCCAATCAGAGCTCGGCTTCGTTTTGACGTCACACAACCCCCGCACAAGAAGGGACTTGCTCTTTGCTCTTCGTATAAGCGCGTGGCGAGCCGTCCATCTCATTAGCGCTTCGCAGCCAATGAGAACGTGGCCTTAGCCGATATGAACGCCGAAGAACCAATAACGAAGCTTGAGCCAGATAAGCCACGCCCTCTTAAGCTGTCAGTGACTGTGCGGAGCGCAAGTTAGTCTGCTTCTTGCGCGGGGGATGCAGTGACGTCAGAGCGCCGAGCTCTGATTGGCTCAGATAGGAAGGATAGCCGGTATCACCTGCATTCTAGCTGCCTTGAGGTCATATCCGTCACCGCATCGTCCGCTGTACCACCTCTGACTGCTTGCTCGGCTGCTCCGTGTCACGTGACATCCCCTGGAGATTATAAGCGTAATGGCGGGTACCCTTTGTGTTTCAGTGCCCTATCCATTAACAGCGGAGTGTGGTCAGCTCGTGCGGTCTCATTAGTATGTGGCAGCCAGTCAGAACAAAACACCACCCGGAGTCAGCAACAAATTCCGATGGCCGAGCGCCGTCAAAGTTCTTGCACGCCATAGCCCGTCGTTTTTTAGAGACAATGGTTTTCCAAAACATGTCGTTGGAAGTGCGCATGCGCGGGAGACTGATCTTTTTAAAGATGGACGAGTATCTTCTAATGTACCATTTTACAGTCATGGCGTTATGGCCTTGTGTTTTATACATCACAAGCGTGAGTTGATCGGTATAGACTATTCATGGACATTGCATACACACGTCGAGGTAAAATTTTTGTTTTTACGTTCACGAACGGCATGTTTTGAAAGTGTTAAGCCTCGGTTGCACTGTCGTACATCGTACAACGTACAACGTACATCGTGTCATACACGAACATTTTTAAAGCGTGTTCACCGATTTTTTTTTTGTATGATGGATAAGAACAGTGTTACTGGGGCTTTAGGATCATTCAATGTTTCAGTTGGGACGAAATGCCTATAATTCGCCATGGCTTCTGTGCTCGAAGCAACACAAGCATGGTCTTGGAACCTCGGTGTTTTCAGTCATCCAGTGTCGAGCGCCAACTGCAGAGATAGATATTATCGTGTTTATTCCACTGTGCAAGATATTATCGCGGTGAAAGTGGCCTTAACAAAGAGGACCCAGAGGGACGGACACTTGAAGAGTGGACGACCATTTCATGTCGTACCTAATCCTTTCATGTGGACAGGCACATCAAAATTAGTTTCCCCGTAAGTCAAGAAATTAGAAAAAAAAACGGCGTTTAGGCAGTGCTCGTTTGGTCATCACGTTTGCATTAATCGAGAGAATTTTTGTCATAAGGACTGTGCTTTGAGCGATGAAAATTGATGTCCGGTGCAGCCGCAGTCGTTCACGATTCACAAGCTGTCCAGCGTACGGCGTCGCCAAGATCTAGGTCCAGATGGCGTCGAAGACATGGTGCAGCTTGGGTAAGTGCCTCAAGCCTCGCAAAGAATATTCATGAAAAAAACAAAAAAACACACACAAAAACATGTCTCTTCTATTACATAAAAAATGAGACATATACCATACTCCGTTTAACCCTAAGCTGACAGTGCGGTGGGAGCTACGAGCCCACTGAAACAATCAAACAGCGCTTTCTGCACGTTAGAATGGGCGGGAGTGTGGTCACGTGACAGAAGAGCGATGTTTGACCAGTCCAATGACCGCGTAACTTCCACCGCACTATCAGCTGACGGCTGAACGGAGTATATTTCATGACCCAGATAACCCTTTGACAGGAAAAAAAAAGTAAATTCCTGTTTTCGACGCACTCAGAATATGCTTCGGTGATTTTTTTTTTTCTTCTTTCTTTAGCCCTGTTATTCACTGCCAGTGGCTATGCGCTTTGCGGCGCTATGGCGATTGGGGTCCTCCGTCATCTGTTTATATCATTATTAGTCGAATCCGCAGTGCTAGATTAGGTAACGTAAACACTGGACCAACATCGTTTTTATACGAACGAAACTTATATATATATATATATATATATATGTGTGTGTGTGTGTGTGTGTGTGTGTGTATCAGTTTCCGCGTTTCGCCGTTGATTTCTAAGAGACTTTCCGCTGTTTTCCCAGGGACCTGAGCGAAGCGGCCCTCCTGTGGAACCTCAAGATCCGTTATGACAAAGAAAAAATATATGTGAGTGTTTGAGCCAAACGTTGTAACGCGGGAATTTGAAGAAAAGCCAAGCGCGCTACACTCTGACGAACACTGTTACGTCTACTCTCCCGCAAAGCACTTGGGGGAAGCCAACAGACCTTTTTCAAAAGCCCGCGCCTTCACCTGTCCGCCATTGCTTGATCAGGGACTCTGAGCACATGTATTGGACACGAGGGTAGCGTCAGCTTTCGGCGTGAGCTCGGATCCAATCACACGCTCGGTGTCCAAACAATGGCGACCGCCAATGCTGCCAGATGAACTTTTGAAAAGGGTCCATTGCTGATATCTATGGAGGAAACTCGGCAAAAAGCTAAACTAACAATTATGTTGATAAGAAAAAAAGACACTGCATTATAGCACAGAGTAGAGTGATATGCGGTGTTGGCGCAAACACGTTACAAGCAATGGTGTTACCCGTAACGCGTAACTTTTTTCGGTAATGCAGTAACGTATTCGTTACCCTTCAAAACTGTAACGGGTAACGCACTTACGCTGCTCATTTTGAGTGACGGATAACGTAGTTACGTAACTCGTTACAGATTCTTCCTAAGACTTAAAACAAAAAGTTACCCTTAAGTATTTTTCGTGTTTTTAGGCGCCGAGTTATATGATTGATTGCCCTCATCCCACAATCCGTAAGAATCAGAGCCGTCAAAAAGATAAGGCAATTATGTTTAGTTTCTGCATGGACGTAACGTTTCTGGACATATGGTGGGTATGGGCCAACGTTCCTATATTAGCGCAGTTACGGAACTGCCCATAGACGCTACTTCCACGAGCTGTACTCCCCTCTCCCCCCAGGACCCGCCTCCTTAACCTCCCGTCGATCGACGCGCCACCGTTTTGATGACGGCTGCTATGGTAACTGCAGTATGTTCTATGGAATACATGTGTTTTGAAGCACACCGTCTAGATGGCATTTCACCGTACTTCATGTAACGCAAAGTTTTGAAACAAAAAGATCTAGATGGCGCTTCAAACAACGGGAGGTGGACTGAAGAGGATGAGGGGGGTACCCCTCCGGGCGGGAGTTCCACAACGGATCTAACCTTGTAACATTGGCTTATGCGTATACCTGTGATGTCTGTAGAGTAAAACGTTTTAATTCATAAATACAAAATTAAAATTAAAATAAAACTAACGTTAAAGTAACGTGCATTACCTTTTATCGGTGACCGCAATGCGTTCCTTTTATTTTGAGGTAAGACAGGTCTGTAACGCGTATCTTTTCGTTGCAAGTAGCGAATGACGTATTTCGTCACTTCCTTTCGGTAACGCCTACAACACCGGTGAAATGTCATCATGCTCACTGCCACAACGAAGATTCAGTTCTCAACCTCTTTTCGACCTCATCATTCGCCCAGTTCCCTCCGGAAGGTAGAAGACACCCGATTCCTTAGAGTTTACTTCCAGTTCTCTAGTCACGTAACTTCGAAAGGAGTTGCGTGACTAGAAAACGAAGTCACTGTGCGCGCAGAGTGACTTCGATACATCGAATAAGCCGTGAGCCGAATGGAACTGTTTTCAGACGTACACGGGCAGTATCCTGGTGGCGGTCAACCCGTACAAGATGTTCGACGTCTACGGCGTGGACGCGGTCAACAAGTACCAGGGACAGATCCTGGGCACACTGCCTCCGTAAGCCCGCACTTTTCGCATTGTGTTGTGACGTGAAAAAAAAAAAATGGTGAAGATGGCTTTTAGGACGCCGTCCACGTGGATATGCCACCTGTTGGGAACATCAATTCTTTTGACGGTCCCCGTTGGGTCTTACCGGTTGTGGCGTCATCTGTCTTGACATCACCTGCCGGAGATGTTACCTAACTTGACGCCATCTTTTTTTTCTAAGAATAAGGATGAGGTTAAAGTTTATTTGCACAATAACACAAGTGAAAGACATCTGGCCCTCTTACACTGTGCACTGTCTTTGGGAACGTCGTTGGTTTTGACTTTCCCATCAGCATATTTACCCGTTAAGGCCCGTTCACACTCTTGCAACCGAGTGCGACCGAGAGAGACCAAACCGGTTTTTAAGCCTCTTGCGATCTCTTAGGACCAGCTCCGCTCAGTGCATCCGGTCCCAAGAAGTCTTTCTCGGTCGTACTCGGTTGCAAGAGTGTGAACGCGCCTTAAAGGGGTACTCCGCCGATTTTTGAGCTACCTCAACTAACTATATTTTCTGACTCCCAGGCCTTTACCCTTTCTGGAATGCTATTTAATATCGTGAAATTCATAATAGTTATTGCGAAATCGGCAAATGAAAATGATGCAAAAACAGACATTCAAATATACCCGCCCTTTTCAGGGCCGTGACGTCAGTGGAAGTTCAGCTTGCCAGTCGGGCGAGCAGTCTAAAAAATAGAATATGCCAATTATTTGTTCCGTGCTGGAGCGCGGGGACTGGAGCGAGCTTCCAAGGCATTCATTTGACACCATGAAACTGCTTCAAATCAGTTGGGAACAAATTCTACAGTCCAAAGAGTGAACCCCTGCACTTCCAATGACGTCACTTTTTCATTGTTGCCAGTAGAGACTTTCAGTTTGAAAAACACGGTGAGGACCAAAATTGTAAATTCAATAACTTCGTGAAAAAAAATTATTTTGACCTAATATTTGGGATACTATTTTGGCGATGTTGATTGGCGAGTTTAGCAAAATTTAAAGCAAATCGGGGACCATGAAGAAATCGGCGGAGTACCCGTTCACACTCTTGCAACACTTCACACTCTTGCAGAATACCAGCTGTATATCTACGTTATTTGTTGGATGCCGAGTATTTTTACGTTGTGTGATGTGGCGCAATTTCTGATGAGTCATCTTTTCAAAATGCCTTTCGTCACCTTTGAGGGGGGTGGGGTGGGTTCAGCAGTTGTGAGGTCAGACTTGAAACGCTCGTTGTGACGAAGGCCACCCTTTGCTGCGGCCACATTAAAGCCACCCTGGTCTGCAGACATCAGTCACCGCGATATCCGTGGCTCGTAACTTCGGTTTATAACATGCAATCAATGCCTCAGCGGACACTCGGGTGGCGGCTCGTGTCCAACCACTGCCATGATGAGAATAGCAGAACTCTAACAACGCCTGGAGCTCAGCACGTGTTTTCTATTTCGCCAACCCCAGCGCGTGGTTGTGATTAACGTTGACGGCATAGGATAGTCACCAGGTCACGCGTAGCCGCTTGTTCTGGCTCCGAGTTGAGAGGATTAACGATGCTTACATTTCTCGAATTTCTTTTTTTTGTGGCGACCCTAGAAAGAGAAATTGAGACAAGTTTATTGAGTTATTACCGTTAGGGAGTAATGCGAACTAGTATTTGGCGAAAGTAGAAAATCGTTTCATGGCTTTTTTAGGAGTCCTACCTTCGTGTATTTTTCTGAAATGCACATGCAAGGGCTTTCTCCAACACGATGAAAAGCAGGTGTTTGATTGGTCCACCGAGCTTCCACCACCCTGTCCGCTTAGGGGGTGAACTGGGTACATATAGACCATTGGCCATTCCAACAAGTAGCCTCCTGTGCTCTGCCATCTTTGTCTACTCGGCTGCGGAACGCGTTCTGGACATACGCAGTAGCTCTCATCTCTGAAATAGCAGACGCCACGCACGCGTCTCTTTTAATCGGGTGGCGGCTTGCGCCACCTATCCTCTGTTACAACATAAGCTCAGCAGTAGAAGCTTTGCTTCCAGAGCGAGCTTTTTGCTTCCATGCCCGCTTCGACGCACGCTAATTCAAACACGCCGGAAGGCAAGCAGCGCGTACTGGAGGTGGAGTACCTTGCAGATATTTTGTTTCAGCAGAGTGTAGTCAAAGCTTGCGTTTAAATTTAATTCCGCGGAAAGACGACACCCAGCGGCGAAAACTCAAAGTACGCTTGGCGTCCGAAGCGGGAGTTGCGTTAGCTCTCCTGCTTCCTGCGCGACTCGTCTGAACCGCGGCCGATGCAGGTAGGGTAGGGCGGAGAATAAACATAAAGATGATTTACATCGTGATTGATATCACGATTCTAGTCGGGATTCAAATCAAACTGGTTTAATTGTGACGACTTAAGTCAAACCTTTCCCACAAAATAATCCCCAAAATGTATTTTGTTTTAGTTGCCGTTTGTCTGTCATATTATGCTTTCTGTGTGCTTTTATTTTGTATTTAATGAAATCAAAGAATCGTCTACCAAGAAAAATTTATATCAGGTAAAACACGAGCACAATACAGTGGCAAATCTGAGCGTTGGGCGCTTTATTTTTACCATTACGTAACGTTCTATTGCAAGTAAATAAGAACGGAGAAGAAAGAAACGAAGAATAAAAAAGTAACATCTTACTCCAAAAAAATATGAGCGCCAAAAAAAAAAAAAGCCTTACTGATATAAAATATTAAGCTGTTTTTTTTACTATGTGGGGGTTTACTCAGTAACGATTTACTAATTAAACTGGGGTAATTTTCGCATTGTTTTCAGTGATTGGACGGATAGATCAATCAATCTGTTATGTTACAAAAATACATCAAACGAATAGAAAGCACTATTTTATGGCTATAATGATTTAAATCGCAATAATAGAATTTTAGTGAAGTCTGATTTAAATCAACTAAATTTAATTTGCTTAATATATTTTTTTTTTGTTTTTAACTCTGGATGCAGGAGAAATAGTGCAACTCTCCTTCCGGATGTCAACTTAGAGTCGAGCTTTCGCTGCCGCGTGACGGGGACCCGCGCATGCGCAGAGCACTTTTTGAAATATTTCCACTGGTGCGGCATCGCGACTTATGTCGCCGTTCAGCGTATATTATAAGTAGTTTGTGAATCTGACTGACGCGTCTTTCTCTGCTCTTTTTTTATTATTTTTTCTTAATAGGAACTTTATCATGATTGAGTAAGTCGTCACACATCTTTGTCAGACTTGGTGTTTGTAGGCATCCTGACCTGCATGCACATGATATTAATCTAGTCGCATGCTTATTTAAGTATAGTAAGAAAAGCTTACTATATTGTGTATTATATACTATTATTACTATATTACTATGCTAGCTAATTTACCAATCAAGCAGCGTCAAAAGTGCAAGTCATTGGGCCTTTTCTGTTTATGGTTGGTTCAGCGACGATAGAACACGTACAGAAACATGACGAACAACATGACGGTGCGTTTTTGTCGTTGTCTGATTGGTCCGATCAGCTCGTAGCGTCGGCTGCGTCTGGACGTAGAGTGAGGCCAAGTGTAGTTTTTGAGGGTTGGTCGACAAAGCGACAGAGGACCAGGTGTGTGAGCATGCAGGGGAAAGCATTGATCGCAGCTTTCGAGTTTAGGTAGTGAACGTCGTAGCAATTAGATGCTTAGATCGGTTTCAGGTGGTGCTTGGAAGGGTTATTTCTAAAATAATGCGCGAGCGCGAAAATCCCTAACGAACGCACAGAAAGAAAATCTACATTCTTTCCTTCCTTTCCTAAAACAAAAGAGGCGCACACGTACACATACACACGTGCGTTCGCTCGCGAAGACAAATAGGACAAGTGAGATGAGGGACCAGAAAACTTATCTCTTACTCAACTGGCGCGCAAGTTCCACGACACAAACAAGAAAAACACTGCTGAAGCCAAATCGGCAAAACAAAATGAGCATTGGAAACGGCTTGAAAGGACGTAAAATCGGTGCAAGCGAACAGGCGGCAAACGGACGTCACTAAGAATTTCCATACGACTTCCAACGCACAGACGATGACCCCTTAAACCTGCGGAGCCCGTTGAAATCGGTTTTTGAGTCCAGCAAAGCGTACCCACCGCACATGGGCGCACGTGCTCAAAGGCGCCTGAGGGGGATAATTTAGATGATTTACTCTCTCTCTCTCCTGCCCTAACCCCTCTTACTTTCTCCTACTGCCTTACCCCCCCCCCCCCCCCCCCCCCTTTCCCGCTAACACACGGACAAACATTTCTTCCCTTGCCTTTGGCACTGACGGTCAAAGTCCAAGGCCAACGCTTCTTGGGCCCGCTTAGAGATTTGCGCTGTATTGTTGGTGCCTCCGAAGGCCCCACTGATACGGCTAACCGGAGGGGACGCTACTAATCATCGTAGCCAGTCCAACGCCCTGAGCGAATCACGTGACTTGGCTCTCCGCGCGTCGTCACTGCTCCAAACTGCAAGGTCACGTGACATGCCCGAAGCCTTTGATTGGCCCAGATGCCTCATAGGGTCCGCTGTGGTTCATCTTGGGGTGAGAGTCTAGCTTTGTCTGTTAACGCCGGCGCTCCTCGGCAGCACCTGGCTTCCTCGAGGCATTCGCAAAGTTATTTTCACCAAAGACCGTCGCGCCGTTCACCATCTGAGTAGACATCGACATGTTTGCTCGGTGTCGTCAGACATGCTACTCCATGGATTGGTGCTGATTCTGGATGGGTGGATTGCTTGATAGCGGTGGATAGAAGTCGGTGGATTCAGTAGCCTCAGAGCGGGAAGTGGTAGCGAAGACAGTGACTCGCTACGGGGTTAGCTGGCTAGCTGTGTTTCGAAGTTGCAAATGTGGTGTGACCGGCGGGAGTCCGTGTGTTTGTGACGGTTGCAGGCACCTTTTCGCGATCAGCAGCGCGGCTTACTCCAAGATGAGCAAGGACAACGAGGATCAGGTGATTGTGATCAGGTGAGTTTCTTTTGTTTAGATCGTTTTGAAAGATCTCTTTTACGCTGCAGAAAATTATCGTATACACTTAGGCGATGACTACAAATTAAAAGCATTACCTTTTGCTGCGTAAAATGGCTGACTTACTCCATAATTTTCGGACATATCATCTGACGGTATATATATATATATATATATATATATAAAGTGTTCGTAATGTTTTCTTTTTGCTGATCTTCCTTTTGTTTATTGCTATATTGTAAAGCTGGTACGTTTTGATAAATGCTAGTTGGGTCAGCCAGCGATTGATGTGTCACTGGTTATGCCTGGAAACCCAACTTCAGAAATGTGGAGTTCTGCTGTAACCTTCGAGCATTAAATTTTAGACGATATAATTATATGTGGTGGAGATTGATGGTGCCTTTAAAAAGATTAACGTTAAGGCACTAACAAAATAGGTGTAACAGGACAGAACAAATCAATTTGTAGTAATAACTATGTGAATGTATGTACTGTACACGACTACAAGCACAACTTCCCAGGTGCCGTCCTGACAGGCATACAGGCAAGCACGTCCTTGCTCGCATGAGCAGAAGCGTGGTGACGTTGAGTATTCTCCGACTGGAGGTCATAACTATAATTAAGCTATTTGAATTTATTCCGTCTCTTTAACTCGTCACGTAACCTGGTTCGGTTCTGTTAACCCAGGATTCTTAATCTCAACTCACGTGCGCCACACTTCGGTGGTAGTTGCGCGTCTCGGCCACATGGGAGCAGGACTGCTGGCTCAAAGATGCGCTCCGAAAGGGATCTGGAAACTAAAAAGGCGTTCAAAGTGAGCGTTTTGTTTAACACTGCAAAATGTTATTTTTATTACTGCGGACAATATGAGTTGAAACAGCCCTCCATGCTTCTTCTGTTTACCTGTCAGTTTTTAAAGCGTTCATGCAAAGCATATCTTGGAACGTAAAACTTTGGTCTCAATCCTTGAACTCTTTCACAATTTGAGAGATAATAGAGATTGTGAGTACTTAAATCTTCGTAAAATGAGTTGATTTAGTTGTTTTCGATGATTCCCAGAACGTTTCTGATCGAAATAATACACTTCAATTTACGAAACAGAAAGTAAAATACTCAAAAGTAGCTATAATGAACGAAATACACTGGAAGTAATTCATTTTGCCAAATCGACCCTTTGGCGGAGACCAGATATGACATTAACCTTTTTTTCTATGCGATGCGTATACTTTTCGCAGGAACAGTTTCACGCGCGTTTTGAGAAACACCTTTTGTATGCCTGTCAATAAATTGAGTAAAACGGAGAATAACGTTTGAGTGTTTGGACAGCGTGAAGTCGGTCTGCCTTTGTGATATAGGACACTGGTTCAGACAGCAATGATGCTCGCCAAGACTGAGGCAAGCTTATGAGATAAAAAGTGCAGTGTTTCTGGGATTTCGCTTCCCCTTCAGAAGATACCATGGAGGTCTAAATTCATGTTCAATTTATGTGTGTGTACTGTCGAAACCGGGTATAACGAAGTCGGTTATAACGAAATAGCGGCTACAGTGAAGCGATCACGATTTCCCATTCCCTTTTGCGCTTCGTTATAACCGAAGTTGTTTAGAACGAAATAGCCGATATAGCGAAGTGGTTTCTGATTCCCGTCGACTTCGTTATATCCTTTCTCGACAGTATATGCGCGTGTTTGCGGGGGTTTGAGGTATGGAGGGGGGTCATACTACATGTCCTTAGTTGGTTTGGCATGTCGATCTCCAAGACTTTTCCGTTGTGAGTGACGTTACTGTCGCTTTGGTTTGAATGTTATCGACGCAGCGGCGAGAGCGGAGCCGGTAAAACGGAGTCGACGAAGCTGGCCCTCCAGTACCTGGCGGCGGTGAACCGGAGTCCGAGTAATCTGGTCACCGAGCAGATCCTCGAGGCGTCGCCGCTCCTCGAAGCCTTCGGGAATGCCAAGACAGTGCGCAACGACAACTCGTCACGCTTCGGAAAATACCTTAGACTCTTCTTCAGGGAGTGAGTGTGCAGCTTACTTAATTGTCTGTATGCCTAGGATTCCGCGTTTTCGGAATTTTTTTTTTTTTTTCGTAAAATTCGGAGGGTCTTTATCGGAGATTGTTGACCGCTGAAGATTCGGTGTTTATCGAAGTTTATGTTAGATTCGTAATTCTCTGAAAATTGGATTTCAATTTTACCGTGTTCGCAATTCTTCAAACTTCAAAAACAAAATAATTAAAGCCCGGGCACAAACGTATCCTAAATTTATCAGAACTGACCTAATCGAGGATATTCCTGCAACAGTATTTGGAATTGGTGCCCTTGCCATTGGTAATGCTATTTATGCCACGACAAATATTGCAAAGAAGTACTACGGTACTTTGAAATAACTAAACTCCAGGGCGTAGTAGCTGGGAAGCTTGTAAGTTTCAGCCTCTCTCCCTCTTTATTGAAACCTAAGGGTTCATAGATTTCACTTTTATGAAAACACTACCGCTCCTTCCTTTATGAAGCACACATAGTATGGCCCAAACTGGAAATCTAAACAACGACTTTCGTCGTGGCCCATAGGTCATGACCCGTTGTCCTGAAGGAACCTTCAGGTGCCAAAGGAAACTGAAGTGGCCTCTCCTCAGGACTGTGCACTGACACTGTGCTCTCATAAAACGTATTCAAAACACCATTTTTTTTTCCTTGCCGTTGTGACTTCAAATTTTGGAGTTTTCCGGATAAATCCGAATGGACGCGTGCATTTTGTCGGGAAGTGTTTTCGAATTTTTTTTCGGATTTAGACGAAAACACGGAAGCTTACATATATTCCAGATGGCATAGATACCCTTCCTATGAATGTTAACAAGAAAGCTTGGAACATCAACACATCCTGATAAAATTTTCTGAACTTTGTGCGGTGCTATATGGAACGATTTGGAGCACGGACCCTTCTTCGCTCATTGAATGTAAAGACATCAATTAGATATCTATGAGGAACCTCGGCAAGATGCAAAGAACGTTTTGTATGTATCTTGGCAAAGACGATATATATAGGCCTAGATGTCTTAGAGACTCCTGCAGCAGTTCAGTTTTCTTTCTCAGTATTTATTACTCTTAGATGTGGTATAAACTACAGTTAAAATTCTCGCTAGGCACAGAAAGTACAAGCAACTCAGTTTGGTGGCCCTTTTGAAAATTACAAGTTATAATCCGTCCGCACGATGACTTTTCCAAAGCTCTATGGCAGTCAAAAAGTAGCCATCATCAGAACTCGACAAAGATAGCGAAGTGCACGCAGCAAGGTTACTGAACAGTTAAGGTTTTGAGTTGCGAACTAAATTGACAGTGGATCATCACTAAATTGCACTCGCAAAAACTGGTGGCGCTCCATCCCGCAGTGCTTGTTTTTTGTTGTTTTGTCTTTTTTTACAACGGGATTTTCATGGGGACAGTAAAGAGTTTCTAATATTCAGGTTTAAGTCAATGTCACGGAATAGAAACCGCAGAGGTGCTCTGGCACCCCGAGCCAATGAGAGATTTTAAAATTTTATTTCTACTGTTACCATTTTCAGTGGCGTGATCACGGGCGCCAACACGACCGACTACCTTCTGGAAAAGTCCAGGATCGTCACACAGGTTGGTCAGAGCAACTCATGCCAGACATTATTTTGCCGGGATGCTTACTGAAAATTGTGTGCTTCATTTACGGGATAGCATGCATCGCCGCCACTGCCCAGCCCTCGCTCCACTGCCGCTTTAAGTTCGCGTGGCTGCTTGCATAAGCGGAATCAAATATGGCGGGACCTACGAAATTGCCGACGCGCGTGCATTGTAATGACATCCTCGTTGGAAACGCTTCGTAACTACTTTCAGGCTACGCAAAAAAACAACCAAAAAAACACACAAAACAAGGTTACAAAAAACGACGCGTGCCTCCTCAATTACCACACCATCTGCTCCCTTTACCGCCCAATCAAAGCTCTGAAAGGTATAGATGTACCTTTTACTAGAACAAAAAAACAAAAAAAAAAAAACAAAAAAACACACACACAAAAAAACAGAAGGGAAAAAAAATAAAAAGAGAGCTTCCGTAATTGCAGGACAACACGCTTCGGACAGGCGTTATTTAACCCCCTTCCTCATATTTTCCTCTGGTCAGTCGACATGCTCTAATATGCCTGTAAGAAACTCTGTTTTAACTTGCCAGACGACGTGCAGTCCGTTTGCCCGATGAAGCCAGGCAGGTATCATAGACTTCTCTGCTTGTAGATGACATCCTTTCTTCTTTGCAGGCGACTGAGGAGCGCAACTACCACGTCTTCTACGAGCTCCTGGCAGGACTGTCCGAACAGGACAAGGAGAAGTACGGATTGCAGACGGCCGAGAAGTACTTTTACCTCAACCAGGTTCGTTGGCGTTCACCGTGTCCTTGCAGCAGAGTCGCGGACGAGGGAAGCTGTTGGGGACAGCTGACGTGGCCGCCTTGACAGCCTATCAGAAGACCGACGACCAGTTCGCGCTTTCCACTTTCTCCCCGCTTCCTTCTCTCCCCCCTTCTGCCCTGTCGACCGTTGCCTGTTTCCTCCTCCCCCGTGGTGAGGAGGATCTTCTGCCTTGCAGAATCTCGTGCCTGGTCGTCGGCCTTTAAGCGAACGCGCGCTCTGACGTCATGTCGCTGCGGTGATACTGCTGTCGACGCTGAGCGTGCTCAGACGCTTCCTCACGCGGAAGTGGTGCCCAGACCGGGTCTGGGCAGTCGCGGCGTGTGACGTGTCGGTAGTAGGCTCGCCGCAACCGCCATTTTGGCGCCGTTCGTGAGCGCGTTATTTCACTGGATTCCTCCACTAATAAATGAATCCTAAACGAACCACTCTGGTATGGAAAAGTGTCTTACTCCTACGAAACATGGAGTCGGTTCGGACAAGACGATATCTTTCGGAATGACCTAAGGCACTGCGTGTATACGCATCTGCTGCGCACTAATGGACCGTGGGCAGAAAGATGGCGGACAGCGCGATACCATGGTATCGTCGCCATGGACTTCCTACTTAACTTTTATGGCGTTACATCACTTTTGCGGGAGAAAAGAAAAGTTTAGGTACGTGAACGTTTAGAAGAACCAAGCTTTGCCCCTTACGGTGGTTCTGCCATTAAAACAGTAAAATTGGCTACATTTAGGTTTTGGCGTGGATGAGTTTCGGTAAGTTGTAGGCATTGAGAGACTCTAGTTTTTTTTGTTTGTTTTTCATGCTATTTCAGGGTGGTGCCATGGAAATGGCATGCAAGGACGACGCCGAAGACTTCCGGTCTCTCTTGTCGGCCATGCAAGTTCTCGGAATGAGCTCGGACGAACAGGACGCCATTTTCCGAATCCTGGCTGCCGTTCTCCATCTGGGAAACGTATACTTTCACAGAAAACCCGTTAGTATATTTGTGGTTTCTTAACCGTAGTAATGCGATTGCAATATTTCTGACTGACTGAAATTTTGGCCCCGCGTGCGTGCGCAGCTGAAGCACGGCCAAGAAGGTGTCCAGGTGGGCAGCGAGGCGGAGGTCCGTTGGGCGTCGCATTTGTTGCAGCTCACCGAAGACGGCATCCTACACGCCCTTACTACCAAAACCACGGTGAGTAGTCGCCTAGGAAACGCATAGCCAGTTGCGGTGCGATTCTGTGGCACGTAGAACGTGTGGTTTCAATCCGATTCCGCTGGGACTTCAGCGGTTAGTTTAGCGACTGACTTAACGCGTGGAATGTACACTCGATCGATAGCAATTGCTGGAATGGAGATACCGGCGCTAACTCGGGTTTTAGACCCCTGGCGCTCTTCCGGAACCTGAACCAGCCAACCAACGTCGAGCTAGGGGCTGTGACGTCATCACCTGGCTCAGCCAATCAGCCTCGAGTTAATCGGCGGCTTCGCTTTTCGGCTTCACAACTTTCTAGACCACCCCTGACGAGACGAAGCACGCTTACCGGGAATCTAGCAAAAGTGTAAAGGGGTATTGACTTCTATTGATGTCTAAACGAGCATTTGCAATAACGCGTTTCCAAACTGTCTTTTCAAGGATGGGTGCACCCCCTAGGGTTGTTCCCGATGCGTGTGGTCTTCTGTAATAAGACATGTCTGTGAACAGTAGATGGCGACACTACCTTTCGTTTGGACTGTGAGTTAACTTCATTTACTAAGACCCGGGTCTGACACGTTCGTTTGGGCTTGTAGTACACGGAACCAGTTAAAGTGCAGCAAAAGATGGTCACTCCCTCTGCGGAGGTACAAGGGATGCTGTGTTTCTAATCGGGACAACGTTTGATGTCCTTGGCGCACTGTGGCACTGTCTCCTGCCGTATTAAGTAACCTCGAAATCGTTATTTTATACAGTAAGATGTTTCTAGTGAGTGCATTCTTGTCAAGTTGGATAATGGTGCCAATCCCTGTGACGTTCTTAATCAGGAGGCTCGAGGAGAGAAACTTACAACGCCTCTGAACATCGACCAAGCCCTGGACGCCAGGTAAGAACTTTCTACGATCTGAAAATAGTAACAAAGACGTTTTAAAAGGGTAATGCAACGATATTTGGTTTAGATGTTATGCACTCTACCCGAGCATACTGACGCGAGTGCAACACAAGCTTACTGGCACTGTACGAGACAGCTGTCTAATTATAGCGGCTTGTGTCTTCGCTCTAGATGAGATGAACGTTGGCAGCATACAATCGGTAAGAAATCATGTTGTTCTGATGCTAGTTCGCAAAAACAACAAAAGCCAGTTAATAAACTTCAGGGATTCGTTCTCAGGAGTATTTAACAAACGTTTTAAAACTCATTTTATTGTTTATTTAAAAGGTGTTATGTTTAGACAGCGTCCCAGACTTACGGGAAACGCACGGAATATAATCGCGAATAAATCAAAAATCAAGTTAAGAAAAAAAAAAATGAAGGAACTTGTATTGTTTGAATTATATCTCGGTTCTACTGAGCTGCATACGAACTCAAGTTACACTCTGTGGGAACTGCTGGTGTATTCTCACTGTGACAGGTAATGCCCTTTTATCAGGCGTGCTTGAGGGCATACCTCCCGGGGGTCTTTAGAGTAAAACAGCTGACGATAAAAATAAGATATTTTGCTTTTAAGCTTAAAACATATGTGACCAAAATTACGTCGCGTCGCGCTGCCGAGCAACGTAGTCATAGCAACTGCCGCTGACGCTATGACGTGACCGGATTGCACGCCACCACGTCACAGCGTCAGTGATGGTTGCTATTCTTACGCCACACAGCGACGCCTGAAGTTCCCCACATGTGTTTCATACTTTAGTCCCTGAACGAGCTTTTTTTCCCAATATCAACATCATCTCTGTGGCTTCGTGTTTTCTTTGTGGTTGGTGACAGGTAAAGAGTTAAGTGGAAGTTCCTCCCTCCTCTTTCCACTTTAGCAGAGTTAACGCTGGAGAGGAGGTTGCCTCCTCTCCAGCGTTTGCTCTGCTAAAGTGGAAAAAGGTGGGAGGAGCTTTTACTTCACTCAAATTTACTCTTAAAGAGGTACTTTGGTTGTTTTCTTCATAGTCCCCAATTTCCCAGATAATTTGCTAAACGCATTAACAAACATCGCTGAAATAGTACCCAAGTAAGGTCCAAATATTTTTTTGCGAACTTATTGAATTTATAAAATTGGTCCTCATTGCTTTTCTTTTTTTTCAAACAAATTTTTACTGGCAACAACGAAAAAAGTGACGCGAGCGGCAGGCTTGGATTCATTCTTTGGACTGTAGGATTTGTTCCCAACTGATTCAAAGCAGTTACACGACGTCAAATGAATGTTCTCGAAGCTCGCTCTAGAGCTCGCGCAACAGCCTGAAACAAATGGTTGGCATAGTCTATTTTTTAGACTCTGCCTGCCACTGATGTCACGGTACTGAAAAGTGCGTCTATATTGGATGTTGGTTTTTGCATCATTTTCATTTGCCGATTTCACAATAGCTATTCTGAAATTCGTGATACTAAATAGAATACCAGAAAGGGTAAAGTCGGGGAATTCAGAAAATATAGTTAGCTGGGGTAGCTCAAAAAACAGTTTCTTTTTTTTTGCTTGCAGTGTGCCTTGAGCAAGCACGCGATTTATGAGTAATGATTTGGCAGTATATCTGAAAGAAATAAGATCACAAAGGCATTTGCTGACGATAAGTTTGTGTGGTGGATCGTTTCAGAGACGCCGTCGCCAAAGCGCTCTACGCCGGCCTCTTCTCGTGGCTCGTGTGGCGCGTAAACCAGGCAGTTTGCCTCAAGGACACCTCTAGGACGACAGCCATAGCCATCCTGGACATCTTTGGCTTTGAGGTAGGCGTTGCGGTTCTTCTTGTCTCTACATTAGGGTGAAAGATATGCTTCGTTTAAGATTAAAGGAGCCCTGAGGAGCTTTCGTAAATTGCCTAAATAGGGTGACAATTCACTCTGCTGACTCTAATTAGTACCCTAGAAATACCTAAATCATGACGATACGCGGCCGATTTCTCTATTAAAAAAGAAATCAAAGATCGCAACACACCGAGGTCATCTCAGGCGATGGGAGGAGGAGCGATTTCCGAAACCAGGACCACTGCCAGCGAATAGTAAGCGAAGGATCCTCGATCGCGCCTCCGACCGGTGGACCCGCGGAGTGATATCTCGAATGCGCGCGGCTCGTCGCCCGTGAAGTCCCTCGATCAACGCTTTGCTAAGTAGCGACAGCCATTGATGTGCCGACGCGCTCTCCCATTGGTCCGTGCCCGCGTTCCATTTCCGGTTAGAATGAACATGGTAGATTTGACTAGACCTCACTCCGAGCATGCTGTCGAGTAACAGTTTGGTACCTTGGTGTTCGAAAACCTATCCGCGCCCAGCGTTGTTCTTTCTGGATTGTCTCGTGACATGACCCGCCGGAGTAACTCGGAAGATTTCGAAGACAGCCATGATGGGCGAGTCAGGAAGAACATGGCGGACCGCGCACTAGGAGACGACATGAGCGAGGGGAGGGGGCGGGGGAGGAGGACATGTCGCTACCTCGCAGAGTTTATCTAGGGATGTTAGTCGACCGGTCAGCCCGGACACCCAGACTTCGGCCAGTTTTTTTTAATCATTCGTGCTTTCTTAGCAGTCAAAGTCAATACTGTACCATCGCAGCCACGCTTTGTTGCGCCATGACTAACTTGACGACAATGATTCTGCCCAGCGAGTGCGCGCTCGAAAACAGACCAGCAGACGACCGAACACATCGCTCCCGCGGAAGACGAAAAAACAAACAAACATAGTGCGCTGTTTTTGAAACGATAAGTGCAGTATTACGTTCCTTCTCCACGATAAATTAACATTTGTCTCATACTGTTATTTGCTCGTATCATTTACAAAAGCATACTTATTCTGAAACAGCAGCGTTTGCAATGTCCACGAAATGTCGAAATGCGTTTTCATTGGTCGCACGTCGTCCTGGCAGCTGGAACATGCTCCTCCTCCCGTCGTCTGAGATGAACTCGGTGTGTTGCGATCTTTGATTGCTTTTTTCATAGGAAAATCGGCCGCGCATGCTCGTGATTTAGGAATTCTTAGGATGCCCGAGCCCGCACAGTGAGTTATCGCCATATTTTGGGCGATATCAGAAACACCCTCAGGGCCCCTCTAAGTCTGACCACAACCGTCACTAAAATCAGATACAGCAGACCAGGCAGTGCTAAAAGTGCATCGTCACGGCGTTCGTCTTTATTTTTGTTCGTCTGCTATCATCGTCTAAACCAGGGGTCTCCTGACCCCCGCCCCGCGAGCCAGGTCCAGTTCGCGTCGCGCTCCCCGCAGACCCGCTGCTACCGACACAAAAAGATGTGCACCTAAAAAAAAAAAAAAATGGCGCCTCAGCGCGCTCCAAACGCGCGCGCGCGCAAAAAAAAAAAAAAAAAGAGAAAGAAGAACAGAAAGAACGAGAAAAACTGAATCATAACGTTTTTTTTTTCGTCATGACTGAGCATTGCCATCTCCAGCATCACCATTCTTAGTCCCCTGCTTCGTGTCCGTCTTACAATATTAATATTCCTTTGCGTTCTCACGCGTACATTGTGCTTTGTGTCCTCTATCACAACATTTGCGTATTGTCAGCATTAGGTTCATTATACCCCTAAGTCTTTTGCACTGCCCGAATATTCCACGCGCTTTGATTTATGCCTGGTGAGTTTTCTTGGTAAAAATTGGTCGTGTAATCTCATAATTAGCTAAATATTAAATTTCAAATTGAAGTAGTATATATAATCGTCCACCTTAGGGCTTTTAAATACTTTGCTTTAACACTAACTTCTGTGTTTAATTAAATGGTTATCTAGGTTTATTATTTAATTCTAATGCAAGGCGAAAGGCACCTCCGTGCGTAGGATTCAGTAAGGAAGTTATTATTTCACTGCGTTAGATAAGTGCTGAACGCGAACTACCATCTTTCTCTGCGAAATAACATGAAATTGATTGATTTTAATTACTCTATTAGTCCTTGTTGTGGAAAGAGAGAACACATGTGTAACAACTCTGATTTTAGGTTAAACGTCGCCCTCACGTCTTTTTATCACCATGTTTTAGAAAGGATTTATTGTGTTTTGAATTAGTAATGTTTTTATAACGTTGAAATAAAACAAAACAATCTTGCCCTCACAAACGCACTAGCAATGTTGTCATCATAGCGTTGCGAGAATAACCTCGTGGCTCAATGTGGTCGCGTTGCATTGGTTTAGGAAGTGTCGAGACTCTATTCCACAAGACTGCACTTGCGGCAACGCACGACTTTGTTGCCGTGTTTCCACGAAAGACGTTTCACCCGCGATACCGCAGCAATCTTCCACTCGCAATTTTACGCAACATTCGGAGCCTTATGAAATACACGTTGTTGTACTGTTTGTTTGTCCACACACTCAGCATATGTATCCTTGCTGAATCCCCTCCTGTCGCATGTAGTATTCCAAACAACTCAAGGAACAACCACCACACTCACATGACGCTATCTCACTTCCCAATTCTGCAGGACCTAAAGGAGAACAGCCTGGAGCAGCTGTGCATCAATTACGCCAACGAGGCCCTGCAGCAGTTCCTCATCCGCCAAGTCTTCAAGCTGGAGCAGGCTGAGTACAGCCGCGAGAGGCTGGCCTGGCAACCGCTCACCCATGCCGACAACCAGGGGGCGCTGCAGCTCATCGCCAAGAGACCACTGGGCCTGCTAGCCCTGCTCGACGACGAGTCCAACTTTCCCAAGGCAAGGGTGCCTTTAGTTTAGCCTCTCCAGAATGCAGGCACAATCCTCAAGACGTCTTCACTTGGTCGAAACGTCCTCGTTCCAACAAGAACCTCCTGTAGACGTTCTCTGGACGTGTCATTTCTAACCATTTAGGGGACGCCACTCCTAGACGTTAACAGGACCGGCCCGCGATTATCAGCAAAGCTTTCACGACTAAGCCTTCTCTTTGCTTCGAGGACATCCAGAGTATATGCCCCCAATAAAGCATCCTTCTGAATATCGGTTCAGGTAAACTCAGGATGTCCCTCATTCACAGCTGGGCCTCATTGGATGTCATCACGTTTGTACTAGAGAGGTCTCCACGAGGTTCTAGATAGCAGGCTTAAGGATGTCCTGATTGAACTTTGGGTAGTAAACATGTCTTTATCTGAAGATTACGTCAAAACCTTTTGGATACATTTTTTTATAACGCATATATTCATCTGCACCAGAACAGTCCTAGTACAAACTAGGGATGTCATCGCGTTCTCTAGGTAGCAGTTTAAAAGAAGTTTCCACTATACAGCCCCAGAAACAGAATGCTGACCGACTGTTCGGTAAAAAATAACTCCGAAAAAAACGTTGTCTCTTACCAAAACGATGGGGTGCCGTTCTGGGGCTCTGCGTTATCATCTGCTTAAATAATTCTTTTTACCGCCACTGTTAATTTTAAATGTGCAAATGTGTTTCTAATCGTCCACAGGCGACGGACGCCTCTTTTCTGGACAAGTGCCACTATAACCACGCCTTGGACGAACTGTACGCGAGACCCCGCATGTCTTCTCTGGAGTTCGGCGTGAAACACTACGCGGGACAGGTGTTCTACTCCGTCGAGGGCTTCCTAGACAAGAACAGAGACACGCTGCGCCCCGACGTGGTCCAGCTACTCATCTCCTCCAAGTTGCCCGTGAGTATGCACTCGGCTATGAAGGACAAAATAATTAAGAGGTTTTTACGGTGCATTAATGACTGTTCGGACAGCTTGCATAGTCACGATTCACGACGTCACATCGAGTTTATCGCTCACGATTTTCAGTAAAAGTTCCAGTCGATTTGTGTGGCTTCCTGTTTAAGGACATTTTAGATGACCTTAATGATGTCTTCAACCTGGTATGCGATGTTACTACCGCTATGCGTTAGCTATCTGCTGTATCAGGAACCATAATAAGCAAGATGATGGGCGCGCAGCAAGAGGTTTGTATTTTACTCGGCACCGGAGTCGTTCTTTGTTAATGCTTTAGGTCGGCACGGGGAGTGCTAATCACCCACCATATGGTGTAATCACTCCAGCGATTAGAGAGTAATATAGTACTCCTCCAGAGTTAGGGGAGTAGTATAGAAAATGAGTAAGTGTAAACATACATCCTTGCGCCTTCGTCAACTCTTCGCCGTCGCTTGGACATGTATGGCGTAGAAGTGACGCGATGTATGTTAATGTTTTTTTTTTGTCTATTGCAGATGGTTTCCCAAATGTTCGAGTGGCGTCGTGCAACAACTGAGGCCGGAAAAACAGCAAGCAAAGCGGATGGCCGGTTCATCACGATGAAGCCCCGGGCGCCGACCGTGGCGGCCCGATTCCACGACTCTTTACAGAGCCTGGTGGAAGTCATGGCACAGTAAGGGCGGCGCAGCTGATATGTAAATTTAGGCAATTTTAGCTATTGCTTTGATGTAAAGTGGTGCTTGACAGAATACCTGGTAGTGATGACGTACTGGCAAGCACGTGCCAATGTTCATGTATACTAGATCTGTATTTTTCTTTTTTTGCGCGTGTCTGTCTGCCGGTTACATGTTAAAATATTTCAATGACAAACAGGACGAAATTATTTGTTTAATAGTACGTTGCCAACCAAGCGCATGCATATAGTTTGGAGCAATTATTTGGGAACCAGTGGTTACATTGACTACATGGAATGGCTTTAGTTGTTTTCTTGCCAGTACATCGGCAGCCGTCTGGTGATGTTTAGAGCATATCGTGATAGATTGGAATCGACCGTTTAACAAGCTGCGGTTACAACTCGTTCTTACAGCTCGCCATGGTCAAAACTATTCGGCAACGAATCAACTGAACAATTTTCTGGAAGAGTGTCCGTAATCCTGTAGTGTCCCCGAAGAGTTAGAGAGCCGCGACTGCATTCATCTGTTAAGATACTTTCTCCTAACATTTCTGTGCCACCACTTTTTTTTTGGCAGATTAACCGTCAAACGATTGACTACGTAGTTCTTTTACCGTTTTCCTCGCATCGTCCACAACAGATGCAACCCGTGGTTTGTCCGCTGCATCAAGCCCAACAACGAGAAGGCTCCGATGAAGTTCGACCTGGCCGTAGTGCTGGAGCAGCTTCGCTACTCCGGCATGCTGGACACTATTCGCATCAGGAAGCTGGGCTATCCGATTCGATTCAAGTTCGCCACCTTCTGCGACAGGTAAGCATCGCTTCCAATCGCCGCCCGAAATGGGCGAGGGGATATATTTTGGCCGGACAAACACTTAATCTAGCACACGCTTGTGTGAGATCAACCGCTTCATTGATAACAGAAAGCGTGCACAGGTCGTGGAACGTCGGACACAGCTACGTCCAAGTTACGTGGCACTCACAGACAAAGCACGCATGGTGTGCAGCGCGCACTAAAATAATTTTAAGCCACCAAACCTTTTCCGCGGCCTACACTATTTTTGGAGAGCAAGCTCGCCGCGGGCCTTGACTTTCCAAGCTAGGAATAAAGTTCTCAAAGGAAACAACGAAAGGAAACTTACTGGTAGTTTGTGCATTCATAATATTTGTTGTTGTTTATAGAGTTCCGCTAACTTTCTTTTGCCACCAACGTCTTCCGACGAGTAAAACAAACCGACAAAGACATCGTACGACCCTAGCGGTAAGATCGTCCCGGCAGAGTTCTCTAGTGTTTGGTCCTGTTGGAGAACTTACGTGGAGCGTCTATCGACCTACATACTGCTAACAAAAAAGCCCGCGTTCGCTCGCACCGGGTGTGGGCACTGCGCGTGCGCGTTAACCAGATTCGCCTGAAGGGAAGCATCTGCGCATGCGCAGTGCCGACAGCAGCGCCACCGCAGTGACGTGACGTCAGAGTTGAGTTGGTCTATACACCGTTCCGCTGCCGAGGCTACGACCTACGGAGCCAATCAAGCCGCGCCAAAAATACATCGTCATGTTGCTCGTTGGTTTGCTATCACCCGGTAAACCACCCAAGCAGCACAGATTCTGGCCAAGCATTGACCAATGGCTGGCAATGGTCTTTTGGCTAATGGCCAAAGAGTGGCCTTCATTGGTCAATGCTTGGCCAGTGGCCATTAGCCAATAGACAGAGAAATGCCAGTCATCGGCCAATAGCTGGCCACTGTCTGGCCACTGGCCAAAGGACCATTGGCAGCCATTGGCCAATGATTGACCACATCTGTGCTGCTTGGGCAATTATGCGCAGTAAAAAGTGCAGGATCTCGGCTTTTACACAGCGCGTGATCAGTTTATTCGGTTGATGACGAATGCAGAGAGACTATGAGCGCCGTGACGATGCACTTTTAATTGAGAGCCTTATTATTGCGTGTAAACTTTTGCAAGAGTTGCCTTCTGCGCGCCGCCATCTTTGTCTGCTGGGCTGGTGGAACGCCTTCTGAGCATGCGCTATTGCTCTGCTGTGCGCTATATCAGACCGTGCGCATGCGTCCACAGCTCAGTGACTCAGCATTTTTCACCCGGGTGATAAGCGATGGAAAGGTCTATAGACCGTTCCATCGTTGAAGAAGTGGCCGAGTCACTGAGTTGAGGACGCGTGAGCAGCGTATATGCTCAGAATGTTGTGACCGTGGGCGTCCGAGTGCGACCACATGGTCGCCAGGCAGAAGGAACACAACCACCCCGTGTGACAGCTCGCCAAAAAGTGTCTTCAATCTTAAATCAACAACCGGAAGAAGCTTCGCTTCCGGTAATCCCGCAGCACAACACATGTGGTGCCATCTATTGCCAGGTGTCCTCACTACATCTCCCCTTCCAGCTCGAGGGAACTTTACCTTGTGCTTTCACAAGTTCAGTCTTTGAGGAGGCTTGACTTGCCGCCCCGAACGTGTGACGCGTATACCCGGTGGGGGAGACTGCCGTGTAGAACTGGGCACCACCGCTGAATCGCCTGTTGGTCTTTCGGCAACAGGAACTGGCCCGTCTGAAGTTGCAGGCTGGGTGCAAACAAAGTCGCTTGGCTGGCTGGGATTACTGGGCGTAAACGGCACCAAGTGGCAACGGTTGCGCTGGACAACACCTCTTGGCGTCTCGACCACGTAGGAGCGCGGCCGCTTGCCCGGGCTCAACACCCTAGCAGCACATGGTATATCTTGTACCCACACCTCTTCCCCTGCTTCCAGAGGGCGCAGTGACTGGGCGGCGTGACGCCTGTTGAAGTCCTTGCGTTGATGGCTCTTCACGCTCTGGTCCCTGCTCTTGACGAGCTTTGGCGACGGCAACTTCGGCATCAGCGATGCAGGTAACCCTGGCAGCCTGGTCCGGAGGCGACGACCCATGAGCAGCTCCGAAGGGCTGTAGCCGGTCACTCCGGGTGTGTCCCGGTGCACCAGTAATGCCATGTGCGGATCCTCTGCCTTCACGAAGAGCTCCTTCAGTGTTCGAACCATGCGCTCTGCCTCGCCATTCGCTTGCGGGTACCTCGGACTGCTCGTACGGTGGGCGAACCCATACAAGGCTGCGAAAGAGGCAAATTCCGTTGACGAAAACTGCGGACCGTTATCAGAGACTAGTCTCCGGAATCCCAAAGCGGGCAAAGGAACTCTTCATAGCCGCGATGACGGAGCTTGATGTTGTGGTCGCAAGACTGACCACCTCGGGGAAACGGGAATAGTAGTCAACCATGACCACGTAGTTGCGTCCTTGCAGCTCAAAGAGGTTAACCCCGATACGTTGCCAGGGGCGATCGGGTGTAGGAGTCCCGAGAAGCGGCTCGCAGCGCTGAATTCTTGTTTGGGCACAACGCTCGCACGTCCCCACCAGTTGCTCCAGCTCGCTGTTTAAGGTTGGCCACCACACTGAGTCGCGAGCACTTGCCTTGCATCTTCCCACGCCTTGGTGGCCCTCGTGGAGTAATGTTAGCATCTCCTTCTGAAGGGTCTGAGGAACCACGATGCGACAGTCCTTCAGAAACAGGTTTCGAAGGCTGTGATGTTGCCTCGCTCCTTCCAGAAAGCCCTAAGATGAACTGGAACGTTGGACACCTTCTTGGGCCACCCATCCTTGCAGAATCTGAGTAGGCCGGCACAGACTCCATCCTCTGCTTGGTGCTGGCGAGGGCGATCGAGGCGAGTGGATGCAAGACTTTCGATGTCCTTGAGCAGTGACCCAACGAAGAGCTCGACGGTGTCTACTTTGGTGTCGCCAGCCTGTACAGGAGCTCGGGAAAGGGTGTCTGCTGTCGCCAGGAGCTTCCCCGGTACATAGAGAACGTTGTATTGGTAGGCCATAAGCCGCATCCTCAGGCGCTGAACGCGAGGAGGCATAGTGTCCAGTTCTGCAGATCCCAACAGAGTGACGAGGGGTCGATGATCTGTTTCGACATCAAACCTGATGCCACGGACGAACTGGTCGAATCTTTCAACGGCCCATGTGACGGCCAGAGCCTCTTTCTCCGTCTGGCTATACCGGGTTTCTGTCGGTGTAAGAGATCGCGAAGCGTAGGCAACGGCACGACGCTCTCCCGATGGTTGGTCCTGTAGCAGAACGGCTCCCAGTCCATACGAACTTGCATCAGCCGACACTGTGGTATGGTACGAAGGGTCGTACTTGGCCATGCAGACTTTGGAGCTCAACATGCCCTTAAGACGATCAAAGGCAGACTGCTGACTGGGCCCCCAACACCATGCACTGTTCTTTTGGAGAAGAGCACGAATCGGCGTAGTCATGTGGGACAGGTGCGGAAGAAAACGGCCTACGTGATTAGCCATGCCGAGAAGTCTCCTGACACCACTGACGTCCGCTGGGGCCTCCAAGTTGACCAGAGCCTGAACCTTGTCTGGATCGGGGCTGATACCGTCTGCTCTGACTGTGACTCCCAAGAACCTAACAGTGGACGCTGAAAAGACGCACTTGGCCCTGTTCAGTTTCACTCCGGCACTGCTCAGGCGACCCAACACTGTTGCAAGACGCCGGTCATGTTCCTCTTGGGTGCGTCCGAAAACCAAAATGTCATCGATCATGTGGACGACTCCGTCGAGACCCTCCACGGTCCTCCCCATTTGACGTTGGAAATACTCCGGAGCGGAGCTAATTCCAAAAGGAAGGCGACAGAAGCAGTATCTGCCGAACGGGGTAATGAAGGTCGTAAGGAGCTGGCTTTCGGCAGATAGCTTGATCTGGTGAAAACTGGCTGTAGCGTCGAGCTTGGAAAAGATCCGTGCAGGACCCAGACGTCCCAGGATGTGCTCCACCGATGGGAGGACGTGACGCTCCCGCTGGACCACCTGGTTAAGGCGTGTGAGATCGACACAGATCCGGTAACCTCCAGAGGACTTGGGGACGACAACGATACCAGAACACCAGTCCGTCGGATCGTCGACTTTACGGATCACATCGTCAGCTTCTAGCTTATCCAGTTCTTCGCGGACAATGTTATGAAGGGGGATCGGAATGCGGCGAGGAACGCTGAGGGAGAACGGCCGTGCTCCTGGCTGGAGTCGAATTACATACTCGTCCTTCAGCTCACCCAACCCTTCGAAGATGTCGCTGTGAAGAGGGCTCTGCTGGTTGAGACTGGAGAGGGCGTCAACGAACTTCACGACACCCAGCTTCTGGATGGCAGGAAACCCCAAAAGAGGCGGGTCTTGCGACGGCAGGACGTAAACCCGCTCCACTACCGACTTGCCTTTCCAAGTCAATGTGGCTTGGAAGGTACCGAGAACTTTCAATGGGTGATTGCCCGGTCCAGTGAGTTGCCCTTCAGGCTCTTGGAGACTGCGAGGTGCTCCGGGAAACGTGCTTGGCACCACCGTGACTTCGGCTCCGGAGTCCACTTTGAAGTCGACGTCGTAACCGTTGACGGCGACTTTGACAAACTTCGCTCGGCCCGCGGTCGAAACGGCATGTCGATGAACTGTGTTCAAACTTCGTTTCCGCTTCTCGCAGACATCTTCGAAGTGACCCAGGCGTCGACAGTAGTGACACTTTGCTTGTCTAGCCGGGCACTCGTTACGGCGGTGCGCTTGACGGCCGCAGGATCTGCAGTTCTTGCTGCCTTCTCTCTGCGACGACGCCGAGTCTCGCTTGGGAGACGTCTTGGGGGCCGGTTTCCTTCCTTTCTTCACACGTGCTTCATCCAGCTTGAGCTGCTCAGGTGCGACGGCAGCTGTCTCGTCACGAAAAACGGTCGCCCGAGCCTTGATGGCGTCTTCGTGGATACGTGCTTGTAGC